TTTTTTTTTTTAATGGGACAAGCCCGCCACAACCTCCCAAAACCGCTGCAACTCCTGTAAGCCAGGATCTACAGTAGATACAACCATGAAAACACCGGAACACTGAAGTCCGGCGCGTCCCAGGGACATGAGTAACTGTCTTGGTTCCCGCAACGAAGTGAATCAGAAGATATTATAAGAGGAGAAGAAGAAAAAGCTATGGTTTTCACTTCCCTCGGTGAATTACTGCAGGAGACAGAATGAATTAAGCCTAAAGGCACAAAGAAGAGACTGTACAACTGGGTGAAGCCCAGTCGCCAAGCACCACGGAAATTTGGCTAAAAACTAAGTGGATCCTATGTGTGAGCTGTTATACTTGCTTCCAATAATAGGACATACAAATCGGCTGCAGCGCAACCGATAAAAGTCTTACGGTGGCAGTGGACTTTTGACCTTTGACCGTACATATACAGGGTGGGATTAATAATGCCACCTGAAAGGGAAGTACTCTTAATACTTTAGATAGAAAAAATTACTCAAAGAAAACATTCGTTTCTTTTTTAAAAGAAAGTAAACTGCATTCAAATATTTTTTTAAATTTGCTTGCCTCACACGGTAATTGAACTGACTGAAATCTGTAAATGTTGTACCCTGTACTTTTACTACATCGATAGGGTCAAAAAGGATATAATCTCTCTACAACAAACTTCAAAAGTTAAATGAAAGGAAAACAATGAAATTTCAAATTAATATTATGATTTTACAAAATGGTAAACTAATTAGTTGCTCGAAATGGGCTCAATTTTCTTGGTTAACAAAACATAAAAAAAAATCGATTTCGAGTCGACAACATATATCCGCAAAATTCGGATTACGGAGATTATTTCGTTTTACTAATTCATTTTACTGACACTGACAGACAAACCGCAGCCGCCATCTTGAGTAGACAACAAACGTTCCGTTTCATACTAGCTCTCAAATACGCCTCGCCAATCAACACGTTGTCGCGTCAAAAAAGTATAAATAAACAAGAAATATGAATAAATTCACGCGAACGAAGTTGCAGGTAACAGCTAGTGTATAAATGTAATTCAAAAATGCAGTCAAGATAGTAAGTAATACCGCAGCAAAATGCAGTCACTAAAAAGTCAACAGTCATCTCATTACTTACAGTTCAGTAGTCTGCTTGGGTATGTTGAGTGGTACAGTGGTCAGCTGTGCCCGGGAACATCGCACCACAGTGCCCGTACAGGCACACTGTGCCGGGCAGTAGTCCGGTGATAGACAGCCTTTGTCTTCCGCTAGAGAAGAAACATGATTAATTGAATAAATCTATGAATGTGTTGGAAGCTAAACCAGTATTTTTACGCCTGGGAGAGCCATGCAGGCCCGGTTGGTACGGTACGGCCTCATAGGAAACCAGATCGCAACAATGTTAAATCCCTTAAGGGATATGCAGTACCTATGTACTTCATGCTTATTTTGTTGTCCTCTGTAATATTATCATACTGTATCATTTTTATTTACATCATAATTACATTACATCATAATGTAATGTAAATGTAATAATTACATTACATCATAATGTAATGTAATTAGTACATAATGTTATTTAAAGCACTCTACTTCATGCTTCCCATCACTATCGCAAACCATTCCCCCTCACTAAAGCCGGCGGCCATGACAGCGCGCGAGCGAGAGACGCGTCGCTGACGCCCCGCCACTCCAAAGAGTATAATAAGTGCCGCCACTCCACCATCAAGCGCGCTCGCGATCGGACGCAAACAGCAATCATAGTATAATAATGTATAACTTCAATTCTTAATTAAACTCTGTAAACTCTATTGCGTCTATCTATATCTACTTAAACTCATATCATCAACACATGAAATGATAAATAAATAAATAATAGTTTTTGTTTTTTCACGCCGTCTGCCTATAGATCCCTCTCCAAACCACCCATCCCCGATCCGCAAATCACTAATTTGCAATCCCCGAATCTGTATGCCTATATACCTTAATATAGCTTGCCACTAGGTGATCGTCTCGTTAATATCGGATAAATGCCGACCCCGAATGAAAAAAAAATTAAAACATATTTTTTATTATTATATTCTCAATCTGAAATTTTCGCACTACGTAACAAGATCAGATTGTCTCTTTCTGCTTATTCTTATTTTCAAGTCCATTTCAAAAATATATAGGAATATTTTGAAGTCACTGGGAAAGGCCTAGTTTGAGCAGTAGATGTCTCGTGGCTGACGATGATGATGATAAAAATTTACTTACCAGTACATTTAAAATCAGAGACTTCCAAATGATGCAAGTTGGCGTCTCTCAGCGCGGCTGGTGACCTGCAGGTAGCTGATGGAGACAGACGCCGGCTGCGGAGCCAGTTTGGCAGCCAAGATATGTGGCACGTGCAGTCCAGAGGATTTGATTCTAGATTTCTGTTAGAAAAGACCAGTAGACTAAGTAGACCGAGTAGACCGAGATGACTGAGTAGACCAAAAAGACCAAAGTGTTATTATAAACACTGACTTCATCATTGAATAAAGTGAATTACTACCCAGCTATTAGATTTTGATATTTTAAAGTGTCAATTATTTTGACTAACCCGTTGGCCGAATGGTCGCAAGTGCGATTGCCAGGCAAGGGGTCTCTGGTTTAATTCCCGGGTCGGGAAAAGTAAAAATTATTTTTTTAATCTCAGCAGTAGCACGGAGTCTGGAATTGTGCCTGGTATAAGGCAATAGACTCACCCCCTATTGCACGGGACTCATAACATAAACAGTGATAAGTGGGTGTTACATTGTACACTGGCATTAAATGCCCTAAAGCGCACATCTGCCTATCTCTTCGGGGGTAAAAGGTGTGATGATGTAGGGTATTTAATTTTATGAATTGAAATGTTTGGTCTAGTTTATCATGATCCTGCAGACAGCGTAAGGGGGCTTTATATGTACGTAAGATTAATATAATTATACTTACAACGTAGACAGCATGGTGAGGTGGTCGAAGGCTCCTGGAGTGATGCACTTGATCTTATTATCCGTGAGAGATCTGCGAATAGAAAAAAATTAAGTATAATATAGGGTGTCGTGGTGGCCCAGAGGTTTAAGGCCCCCGCTTCTCATGCACAAGGGTGCAGGTTTTTTTTTTTTTTTTTTTTT